TTAAACTCGTATATTCCATTTTTAAAACAAATATTCTGAATCGATTATGGGTCCATCTATTAGTAAATAGAGAAATTACGTTCGTTTCGAAGACGACAAAATTATCAAAGACATGACTTGGACACCACGGAGCTTGCTGCCATCTACTGATACTGTCCATTGTCCTCCAAGATAATTTGCATTGGTATTGTTTTACTAGTTGATCTAAATACAATGGTTGAACTCACCTTGTATTTTATAATTTTTGAGTTACCCTCATATTTATTTTGGATAGGCGTGACATCAATTTTTATAGAATTGTCAGAGTTAATATATTTTATATTTTCGATTAATAAATCCTTTCCTCCATAAACCTCCAATTAATTATAATAGTCGTCCCTCGCCGACACCAAATAAATTGTATTGTATTTGGTTTAGCCATAGAATATTAATTTATTTTTTTATGATGATGCTTGGGGTTTTTTCTGGGTATCCTCATCTGTAAGTTAGATGACACCATCTGTACGTTCCATTGGAGCGCCATCTCAAATAATAATAATAATTGGGGGGTGGGTTGGCTCAGTGGTTAGAGTCATGACTTTGAGATCGGAAGGTCTCAGGATCGAATCCCACCGTTGGCCGGGATTTTTTCATTTAATTTAATTATTTAAAATTAATTCTGATGTCTTGGTAGGATTCCCCACTCGACCATCCACTGTTGGGTTTTAATTAACAGTGCTGTTCCTAAAGTGGCGCTGGGAAACAGTAACAAAGCCTACACAGAACACGAGGCTAATGGCCGTAGTAGTCGACGCCGATGACACCAAATGAAAAAAAAAAAAAAAAATAATACGGTTGTCCCTCCCCGATACCAGCTATATTCTTTCAGAGTTGCAGGGATCACTCGTAATGGGGTAAATTGTAAAAATAAAAATATTATTATTTAATATTATTGTGCTTTGTGCTAAAGAAAGAATGACCTAAGGGAAAGAAGCGATCCTTTCGAACTCTCTGAAAATCGCTAAGGATAGCTTTTTTGGCTGAATAAAGATTACCTTCCTTTATTAGTTTATATTTTATAGCGTTTTATGTAATTAATAAGTCCTCTTATTGATGTTTCAAGTAGTATATAGAGTCCATACTATTTCATGGGACAGTGTTAATTTTTCTTAAACGCTAACAGATAGAAGGTTAGTTAAATTAGAGAAAAATTACGCAGTTTTGTGCTTATTAAAATGGTGCCAAGAAACCTCTGATATCTAGAGGGAAATTTAAAATATCGGACAAAAAATGAAAATTTTAATTTCTTTAAATTCATTCATTCGTTTTTTGTCAGATATTTTGAATTTCTTTGTAGATATCAAATGTTTTCTGGCACCATTTTAATAAGCACAAAACTTCGCAACTTTTGTCAAATTCAACCATTTTTACTTTCCTATCTGTATACAGATATAAGGAAAGTATAGGAATCATGATTTTTTTCGACCTCGAGTTTTCGACGGATTTTTACGTTTTGAGGTCCCCTGAATCCGTTTTGACTATTTTCGCGATGATGTCTGTGTGTGTGTCTGTGTGTGTGTGTGTGTCTGTATAACGCATAACTCATGAACCGATACACAGAAAAACACCAAATTTTAAACTTAAGCTTTGTTTCAGTGTCCAATGAGCTGATTAGATTTTGGGCAGAGTCGGAACATCTGGGGGGGTACTTTATAGGTGGTCATTTTTATATTTTATGGAATATATCTGTTATTATCGTTTGGAGAAGAAAATTGTTCAAATAAAAGTTGTTTCTAATATAATTTTCTATAATTTTTGTCCTATACATAATTTCTCTAAAATGGACCGTATTCGAGATATTTGAGAAAATGTGTAAATTTCGAAATTTGAAGAAAACTCAAAAACGGATAAAGGAAAAAACATTAAATTTTAAACTTAAGGTTTATTTCGGCCTGACGTGAAATGATTAGATTTTGGACAAAGTCGGAACATCTGGGGGGGTACTTTATGGGAGGCCGTTTTTATATTTTATGGAATATATCTGTTATTTATGTTTGGAGAAGAAAATTGTTCAAATAAAAGTTACTTCTAATATTATTATCTATAATTTTTGTTCTATGTCAAAATTTCCTGAAATGGTCCGTATTCGAGAAATTTGACAAAATGTGCAAAATTCTGATTTTTATGAAAATTGTTGAACTAAAAGTTGTTTGCGATATCGATTTCTATAATTTTTGTTTATATATGATTTTTCTAAAATGGACCGTAATGGAAAAGTGCTAAATTTAAATTTTTCTGTATTTTCGTTTTCAATGAATATCTATAGAAAAATGTTTCGAGGTAGATGTATGTGGAAAATGTATATATTTAGTTTATCCTCTAAACATTTATAGAGATGCTGCAATAGGTTGTACAAAATAACCGGAAAATGTTTATAATAACTAGATAGGAAAGTCATGTGTTGGACACATCAGATTTTTCTATTTGTTAGCGTGTATAAGAAATAGCAATACTGTCCCTGGCTCACGAGCTAGTAGGTACCTATCTAATTGGGAGATTGCACAATGGGCCTAGTAAGGCCTAAGTGCCATGAGTTAACCCACCCTTCACACGTTACAAATACAGATACTATCCCTATGAAATAGTATAATGACCCCGTATATACCTAATAGAGAAAATAAGGCCCTTAATGCAGGAGAGGTTATTTAGAAAAGGCACATTGTTGCAGGAAAGGTTCATACCTAATGTCAAAAAATTCAACTTTAATGTATTTGGGGTTTATTGTAGATCAGTACATGAAGTGGCATGAACAAATAAATTATAAATAAATTTTATTTCAATGAGGGATCGTATATCAGATTTCAATTTCAAGATGTGATATAAGCCATGAACATTTGTAAAAAAAATTTAAAAACAATATAAATATGTTGATTTTCATGTTTCTATTTTTTTGAAATAATTATTTTGGTAAGATGTTTTACTATAAGAAATATATTTCATTTTGTTTACTTATTGACTATTGACAAGGCGCAGTATGCAGTGTGGTATTTTTTCTATGTTAATGAAAAAATACAAAATAAATAAATAACAAATTTTACATAATCCACACCCTCAAGTCAATTGGCCCCCCCCCCCCCCCCCCCCCCCCCCCACCTTCGCAGCTCACGAGCCGCCTCTGGTAATACATATATCTTTAACAACTATAACTTGTGAATAATTTTAATTTAATGTAGGTTATTTTGATGTAACTTTTTCCATGTTATTAATTAAACTTTGATGTGATATTAATATTAAACTTCATAAAAATGATACGTAAACTGTTTTTGTAATGATTTATTGTATTAAAAAATTATTGAACAATAAAAAAGTAAATGTTAAAAGAAAATAAGAGCAAGTATGAACTATGGCTAACAAATTGATAATAATGAATGTTCGGATGGCGTCAGCGCTGCGCGGAAGACGAAGTCTTCGTGAGTGACAAACACGACGCCGACGGAGAGATATTTAAAAGTAACAGAACCATCTAGATGAAAATTGTCTATGCCGGCTTGAAAGGGCAACTTTTAAATATTATCCTCAATCGAAAGAAAACACAGTTTGTTGATTGGCCATTTATACACTGCACTCACAGTTTTGACATTAGCTTCTCTTATTATGCCATCTTTTCCAGGATATAGTTGTAAAATTCTACTAGTTTTCCAAGATAGAGGGGGAGAATTTTTGTCTATCAAAAGTAGGAGTGATCTTATTTTTGGAACTTTGTGATCCTGTAATATCCATTTGGTCTGTTGTTGTAAGTTGTGTAGGTACTTCTTTGACCATCTGTTCCATATGTGTTGTGTCAATTTTAAAACATGTTGATACTGATGTCTATTTGTGTTGATCTGCTGAACGTCTGGTTCATACAATGTGGTTATCAGTTGTCCAATTAGGAAATGAGAAAGAGTTAGTGGTTGAAAATCATTGGAATCCATTGATATTGGTCTGGAGTTAAGAATTGCTTCTACACAAGTTAAGACAGTGTAAAAATTTTCATAAGTTAACTTAGTTTGACCCATAACCTTAACTAAGTGTTATTTCATTTTTTTGTTTAACTGATGACTCCCAAAATCCACCAAAAGATGGAGCGCAGGGAGGAATGAAATGCCAATTAATCAAATTTTCTAGAAGATATGATCTAAAGGGATTATTATGTATTACATTTTCAATATAATTCCTTGATTTATCAATTTCATTAGAAACACCAACAAAATTATGTCCATTATCACTATATATATTTAGAGATACCTCTTCTTGATATAAAACGTTTAAAGCAATTCCAAAAAGCATTTGTTGACTAATCACCAGCCAGTTCAAGATAAATCACTTTAGTTGATAAGCAAATGAATAAACATACATAAATCTTAACGAATTTACTAGTTCTTAACTTTCCTTCCTTAACCAGGAAAGGACCTGCAAAATCTACACCTGTATTAAATAATGGTCTGGAAGGGGTAGTACGAACATAAGATAGATTTCCCATTATGGGATATTTAATTTTTGGTTTTGTCTTAAACCAGATAACGCATTTTCTTAAGACCTCGTTGATATTATTTTGTGCATTAATAGGCCAATATTTTCTTCTGATATGTGACAAATAGTGTTTGAATATCACCATGGTAGGTTCATTTTGAATAAGCAATGTGGTAGTTATCATTTCCTGGTAACAATATAGGACATTTTTGGTTGTATGATAAATTCAAAATTACTTAGTCTACCTTACTACCTTAAAAGAATAGGTACCTTACTTTTTTAAATTACTCAAATTCAAATATTTAGTTTAAACTATATGAAGTATTTCACTGTATCTAAAAATATAACTAACTTATGTAAAACTGTACCTAGTAGTTTAAGCTTCAATATAGCACGAATTACAATGCCTAAATATAGGTACATTATCTTATTTAATTAAAATTGGCCCTATTCTATAGGGTAGTGATTGAAATATAAAACTTCATTAATAAAATGTTTAAAATACTTACTTTTGGTAAATACTGAATATAGTTTTCGTTTTTAAATCACTTAAATTAATAGATATTTTTAGTTTACAACATTCTTAAACTTTATATTTCAGAGTTTTCAGACATCTTATTTTTTCTTTTTTGGCGGTTGGCGGGTCAACATGTCAACAATTTTATGACTTTTTATTTTATCTTCTTTTTAATTTTATCACAGGACAATTACTTTTATTTAAATCAGCATAGGTTGGAATGTTTCGATTGCCTAATTTGATCCAGATACTAAAAGAGAAGAAACGACTTTTGTTTGTTATGTTCTCCGAGCTAGAGGGAGTCTTCCCCCTTCCCCGCACTCTATTTTGTTGAAAAACATCTACTCCTCGAGGGGGGAAATCCCTCTCCTGTAATTGGCTTACTTAAACAGCGTTGCCACGTTTGACAGCGCCAATTCTGACATTTCTGACACATGTCAATTTTTGATTTGTATTCACGAAAAATATAATTATTTATAGCGTTGTAAATATATATTTAAGATAATCTCTAATAATATGGTAAAAACATGCTTTATGTGTAATAGACCTGTTAAAAATGCTTTTTCAAGATTATATCATGAGTAAGTACAAACACAATCTAATTATCAGAGGCGGTGCATTAGGCAATCACTTTTAATTTGCAATAAAAACTTTCTTATTTTGTTATGGAAAACGTAAAATTAAGAGGGAATATACCCCAGCTAAGTTCGTCTTCATCCGAGACTAATGATTATAGTATAATTACTTATTAACAAAGAAAATTTAAATCTGTGACTTTATTTTAATATCACATCTTTATAAAGTTTATTGTTTTTTTTTTATTGTAGGTTTCCTTTTCTAGGTATAAACAGACTTAAATGGTACCAAAAAAATAGGAATTCAACAAGTGACCACCTGAATAACTTTATGCTAATGAAGAGGAGGAAAATATTAAAGAAAAATGCAATTTCAGTAAATTTCGATAAGAGAGGTATAATAATCAATCCTGTCACTACTTCATCACCATATTCATCTGCTACTAAAATACTAAAACAACAAGGGAAACAAAGAAACTTAAGTTTCCTTCAAAAAGAATGTTTAAGGAAAAAGACAAGGCCAGGTTTTTGTTGACAATTTTTTTTAAACTAATTTAATCCACTAATTTTGTGTATTGTTCAAATTTTCGTATTATGTTCTTAATTAATTTTAGGTTTAAACAAAATGGACCTTAAATATATGCTGATGATATGGATTATACCAAAAAAGAAAAAAGGTTTTTAAATTCTTAAGAGAACTATTCAGAGCTAAAAACATAAAATAGTTAGTTAGTCTTTGTGCCCGAAATATAAAGATATAGGTATAAATATTTGGATCTTTTTTATTCTATAAATAGAACGTAATTTACTTCTAAATCACTAATGAAGTATATTATGTAGTAACAAACTATACAAGAATATCACATTATTCATGTATTTTTTATTTACTAAAAAACGTCCCAAAAAATATTGAATGTTTATTATTGGAGTTTATATGGCTATGCTAAAACAATACTAGAACAACTTGAACAATGTGGATTTTGACTATTTTCAGTTATCCAGATCATTATGATCTAAAAAATGTCTTTCTGGTGCTATAGTCAGGTATAAAAACATACATTTATTTGAGCACAGTTGCAATATACATTTTAATTAGTTTTTAAGTTAATACCTAGTAGGTCATCCTAAAATGTGTTTTTCCGTTTGATGTGAGATTCATTATTATACATTTTTATGTCCTACTGTTTTCTCAATTATCTAAAAGTATAGAACAATACAAAGACTGTTTTAACAAAAAAGATATATACCTTTAATTAAACACACAATTAGTCAATTTAATTATTCGATAACTTAAAGCAGAAATTCAGAAAACTTCTAAAAATGTGTTTTTACCAGAACAAGGACATCTTACAAAAAATTATTAAAAAAAAAACTGCACCTAATAACAGGTTTTTATAAAATATACAAATCACAACGAACTACATAAAATTACATTATTAATAATTTAAGTAATAAAAAAGTTAAGTACAATGATGACATTAAAAGTTGATTTTCTCGAAATTACTTTTTTTAAATTGTCCTAGTACATACCTACTATTGTTATAGCACAAAGATATATGAATGTCCATTATGTGATATCTAATATTTTAGGAATAAAATAATATATTTTTTGCAGGTTTCTGTTAACAACGATTCCAAGAACTTTGAACATATTATTAAAACGACCTTCACAAATATAATTTTCAATTAAGGGCTTTTGATATAACATTAAATTTTTATTCTCCAAAAGGTTACAGCTACATAAGAAGAAAGTTTAACAAGACTTACCTCTTACCAGACCCAAAGTATCCAAATATTACCAACCAATTGATGGTTCTCTTGGTTTCCATAGTGAAATTCTCCTTGAAACTACTAAAAGAAAAGTGACAGAGGCAACCGAAGAAGACCAAAAAGTTTTTTGCAAAAAAAACAAGAAATTTCTTTAAGAATCTAATTATTGTTTGATGATTTACCATTAATAGTTATTGATAACGTTTTAACATTATGATGTTCTGTATATATTTTCCTCTTTGATAACCTATGTTTAAATTTTTATTAGGACCAAAAATAAATTATAATTTTCATTTTAACTACAAAAACCCTCATAATATTAAAAAGGGGGTAACCTCAGATTAGTTATGTTCAAGAATCATCAACTATATAAACATTTATTTACTTAAAATGTGTTACTTTTAGAAGATATGTTATTAACTTTCTAATTGTACACATGTATTAATTTATTTCATTTTATCTTTGTTGTATTTTCAAATTGATTTTGATATTAATCTTATTTATTTCTATTTTTTTTTATATTCACGTATATGTTTTTCATTGAAACGTTCATTAGTTTATTAAATATAATGAATTTACGTTGTTTTATTATATGCTTGTATGAATGATTACTTTTATTGCCTTTTGAACATGAATTTCGAAGATAAAGGCGAAACAGTGCGTGAGAATAAAAAGTAGACGAAAATGACGATATTTACTGGAGCTTTCATCTACACTCTTCTTTTTCTAGCCTATCTACACTTGAGCTATTAAGGTTCGTTTTCCCTCCATCCTTACATTCTCAAGATTTATAGAGAAAACGCCGAGTCCTCTTTCACATATCCGGACCTTATTCTTTGACGGGGACTATACCACTACTTTACATTATCAGCCTTATTTGTTATGCCGAGCAATTTAAATGCATTCGTAATTGCTCATTCTCACCTCTTCACTTATAGATTCCGTACCCATTTTTCTTATTTTTAGTTAAGTTTGCCCTGCACTTTTCCTTTTCCACAGCCTTAATTCTACAATACGGTAATGCTACAATCTTGTATCCATTTTTGTGATTTATACTATTTAATTGTAAGTGACAAACCTATTATATTGTTCCTATTATAATAATTAGGGATTATTGTATTACAGGCCTGAAGGTGTCCCTGTGAAGCCGAAACTAGTCGCTCCTGTATTTATTTCCCAGACAGCACACCAAATCCTTTGGATATCTACTGAACATCCCAATATCCACTGAATATCCAGTCCATGGTGGATATCTATTTTATATCCATGAGATGTAATTTATAGACATGCAAATGTCCATAAATAATAGTAATTATATAGCAAATTATTAAAAAATTACGCCATTGTGGCTAATAGTACCGTTCAGATATTTAAAATAATTTTTTTTAAGGTGTATTCAATATCCCATGGACATCCACTAAATAAACAAAGTCTAGGTGCGAATGCAAACCATCGTGGATATACACTAGATGTAATTTTTGATTTTGCTTACTAAGTATAGATGGCGATACCACTTTCGCATCCACTCATGCTCAACCCGCCGTAATGGAGTTCGATCGAAATTTGTTTCCCAATCAGACTCCATTAGAGACGAGTCGAGAATTTCCATTTATTGCTGAAGAGTCCTAATAAGGATGACTTTCTCCTTAGTGGGCAAAATCGAAGGCAGAGTGTTGAAAATATTTTTTATCTCTGCTATTTTCTTTCGACTTTATTCAATAATCATTGGTTACTTTTATGAACCTCTACTAAAGATACCCGTAAAATATCCGAATTCTTCTTTATCCTGGGATATAGACGGACATTTGGTTGGATATCCACAAAATATATTCTGTGGATATCTCTGGAATTTCTTGTATTGTCTGGAAGATACCCATTAGATATTTTGCTGGATAATCCATAGGATATCTTCTATATTCTGGATATAGACGGACATTTGGATATCCATATTAGATCCACGGAATATTTCTGATATCCTGTAGATATATTTTATATCCACAAAAGATATTCTGTAGATATCTCTGGGATTTGGTGTGTTGTCTGGATAATAAAATTTATTTGGAGATTTTATTCTTTAATTGAAAAATTATACCTTTACAGTGATTTTGTTTTATTTCCTGCATCAGACACATATAAGACGATATATATTTTAAAATGAGCGAATTTTTTTAGTTTTTTTACAATTAAAAAGTTCGGACAATGTGTGTTCTAACGGAGAAATGATACGCCACTGAACAAGAGGGATTGTTTACCTTTCCCCTTGAGCCCACTTCCTCTGCAGATTTTGTGAACACAACAATCGCCTACAAACTCGTTTAAGGCTCCCTCTAGTAATAATTGCTCTGAGATTATGTTATGGGTTGGTACTGATATATATCTTATCTTTGTTCAATTCTTTTAAAATAACAAGAACAAAATCAATGAATGATATTTTTATCTCTTTTTAGAGCACGAATGAAAAGTCTGAGCTGTCTTCTGACAAAATTATAACTGTTTTCTTAATGACCAATACCAATCCGCACGGCTAAAGATATAACCAATCAAAGTAATAGCAGTAACGTCAAATCGCACTTAAATCTTAAATGGATATTCTGTCAAATTGCTTCTGAATTGACCTTAAACAGTAATTGACAGCCACCTGAAATTACATTAGGTGCATAGGTGCGTGCAAGTACTTTGTCATATAAATAATTGTTAAAATATTTATGATTACTAACATTAGTAATCATAAATGCTATGTTTCTACAAAGTTAATTTAAGTTTTGTTTTAGTTCACAGTGATACTAGTTTGGTTCGGCTCTGTCAATGTTGATAACATGAACTTTTGAGAAAATATTGATAAGAGCAGAAACTGTAGTGTTTACTAGTTTATCAGTTAATCATTTTACGTTATTAAGGTGAGTACTGAAGTTTAAATGTTGTATCAGTTAAAAGATAAATGTGTATGTAGGACAATGTATTTATGTCCCACTGCTGCATTATGTGAAAATGAGAAAATGTCTACTGATTTCACCTAATGTCGAAAAAGCAATGTAGACTGATTAGTCAATAATTGATTGTATTCAGTGAAATTTATTTATTTAGTTAGCAGTTGATTGGTTTATTTATGAAAATCAATGACCCGACCTTGAAAAAAATGTTGGAATATACTAAAAATCATATAAAATCCTGGCGACTTTTATGTTTTTCTTCCCACTCAATATTAAAATATAGTTTTAGAGTGGGCTACCTACCTTACTCTACAATATTAAGTAGGAGTAGGTATATCATTTTAATAATTTCTACCTATGAACTTATTTTACTGATTTGCAAATATTTATTTTAAAGGAATTAACAAAATGCATTTTTTATACTTGTACCTACCAGTGGGTATTTATGTTATTAGTAATCTGAAAAAATTATATGAAATGAATATACAGATGTCTAAAATTCTTATAAAAAATGGTTAATAATATTGTCAATTACACAATATAATTAAATGATTTGATATCTTTAATAATATTTGTCTATGAGCTAGTTATCGAGTAGTTTAGGGACTATAATTGAATTTGTGCAATATTTTACTATAATGCATTCAAATGTGTCAATATACAGGTACTAATCTAGCAGAATTATTGAATTAATTATTATTGCTGTGAAATGGCAGGAAACAATACTGATTGACAATAGTGAATTGTTTAAACAAGAGACAGGTAAAGATAGGTAAGTATCTTAAAAATAATGGTAATAATAATAATTAGTTATTTACAGGGATTTTTTGAAGGCTTTTGACAGAATGGATCATGGTATATTGATTAATAAATTGAACCAGTTTGGTTTTTCTCATGCCTTGATGAGGTTCTGTAAATCATATCTTCTGGAAAGGCAGCAATTTGTTTTTCAAGGTTTAAACCTTGGACCGATGCTATTTTTGTTATTTATTAATGATCTCGATCATTTAAATTCTTGTAGACTTGTTTATGCAAATGTCTTTAAAATATATCTATTAGTACTAGAAATGTATGACTGTTTCGCGCTTCAGCAGGACCTAGATAGATTATCAGATTGGAGCATGCAAAATAGGTTAATGCTAAATGCATCTAAGTGTAAAGTATACACCAGATTTCTATTATAATGTTAAGGGGAGGGTAAAGTTAATTCGTGCAAAAAAATGCACATTTTTAATGAACTAATTTTTTTTTCTTATGTGGGACATCCTGTATACATCTAACAAATTTTAAATTGTAGCCGTCTGTAACCTACGTATTCCTCCCAAACGAATTTTTTATATCTTTGGTCGTTTTCCCATAAAGCTCCGTCCCATTGAGCGTGAGCCACCCTGTATATCCTCGAAACCCTGCTTTTGACTCGAGACTAAGTTTTGTTGAGCATATTAATATGAAGGTTTTTGATGCAAACAAAAGGTATGGTTTTATTATACGAAACTGTCTTAGATTCAGGGACATTGGAGCATTAAAAACGTACTATTCATACATCCCCACTAAGCTTGAGTACTGTTCAACTATTTGGTATCCCTACTATAATACTTATATTAGTTTTACATCTGTTCAAAGGAAGTTTTTGAAATATTTAGCTTTCAAAGTAAATGGTGTCTACCCTCCAAGAGGAATTGATTATCAGCTACTTTTGGATATTGTTAACATGGATAGCCTTGAATTTCAAAGAATTCTAGCTTCTTTGACTTCTTTATACAAAATTATGAATGACTGTCCTGCTTTTTTAGCTAAAATTAATTTAAATGTTCCCCACTATAATAACAGATCATTTATCTTTTTATTGTAGCAGATCTGGAATAAATATTCTATTCAGTAAAAAAAAGTTTTTCAAGGATATACTTAAGTCATAGCCAATACAGGTGCTTCAGTAGTACATAAAATTAAAAACCTACTTACTTACTTACCTAAAAAGAAGATGGCATTTTTATATGAATGAAATATTTTTAAATATTTCTAGTCCAGGAGTAAAAAATAAATTAGTTTTTATTAGGTTTTACTATAACACCTTTAGTTCATGAGATAACCTTTGTAAGTTTTTAAATTGTCACCCTGTATAAAAGCCAATAATAAAAACATGTAATTAATAAAAACTACTCAAAATTTATCTCCAATTTGATAGATGTGGGGAAAAGGATGCCCAATGTTGGAAATACTAGGGTCACGTGTGTTCAAAGTATTGCCCTCCAGCATCAATGCACTTTTGAAGTTGAATTTTCTACTTATTGAAGATTCCTCTCCACTCGTTAACAGGGACGGATTCAAAATATGGATGGTATAATCAATTTTTGCTTCTGAATTAAAACAACTTCGTAAATTCTTTTTCAAATTAAAAAATACCCAACAGTCACACATTGTGAGACCCGGCAAGTAGGATGGATGTTCAACAACTTTGATGTTGTTTTCCTGTAAGAATCGTATGACAGGAAGCATTGTTATGATGTACCATTAATCCTCTTTTTTGGATGTACCAAGCAGCTGTGGCTGTCCTCTGTCCCTCTAACTTAATGGCTTTCACAAATCCTGTACTTCTAAAGAAAACTGCGTAATACATGACTTTCTTCAATGCACATTGTCTTTTGACGGTTGTTGAAAATTGGTCATCTTCAAACTCTACTTTCCTAATGTGTTGAATCGTCGTAAAAAGGAATATAAGTTTCATCACCTGTCACAATGTCTGAAATAATTCGATGACCACCATTATTCAACATTTTCAGAGTTTCTCTCCTAATTCGTACATGCTCGGATTTTTGCTTCAAAGTTACATTATAGGGCACCCATCAAGAAACAATTTTAATAATGTGCAATTGTTCATGTAAGATTTTATGACTACCCGCAGATCCTATGCCTAGGGTTGTCTCTATAATTTGCAGCGATTGTCTTTTGAGATCAATCTTCTGACAGCAGCCATGTTTTCTGAAGTTACCACTGTGCATGATCTTTTTTCATGCTCTTCGTCCTTAAAGCTGCTATGACCTCTCCGAAATTCCGCAAACCATCTATATACAGCAGCATGAGGTGGTATTTCCGCTCCAGATGCCAACACAAGTCTTTGGACACTTTGTTCTTGGGCCAGGCCAACTTTAAAAATCATAGCTCAGTTCTTGGAAAAATAATTCGTATACATTTTAAGCTATCAATGAAGTTGACATTAAAGGAATTGGTGTATACAGGGTGAATCCCAATTTTTTTACTTTTTTTAACTTTGTATAAAAGTCGTTAAAATAAACATATTTTTTTAATAACTTTTTTTAAACTCAAAAATAAGAAAGAGTTTTTTTGAAAAAGTTGTTTATTTAAATGACTCATATACAGGTAAAAAAAAGGTATAAACTTAGGATTAACCCTGTATTTAGTGATTATTTTTATTACTGCTCTTTTGTGGAAAGTAAGAATATTTTAATAATGCAATTTGTTTTATCAACATACCATAATTAATTGATATGACAAATATTGAAGATTTGAAATTCTTCTTAAATTCTGTGGATGTTTACAAAGATTTAAAAATGTTTCTTATATTTTTTTTTGCTTAAATATATTCATACTGAATCAATGTACTATGAATTTTTGTTTATAAATTGTATTTACCGAAAATATCTATGAATCTTTCATCAACTATGTTTATAGAATAACTGTGTTGGGTCAAAAATCAAGTATAAAAATTGGGGATGTGGGGCATTCAATCAATTTAGGCCCCACTCCCTGTGTATAAGCAAAAATAAGAATATCATTAACCATCTTCCCAATTGATAAAAAAGATCACTACCTGTGGTAAGATTTTTGGTATTTAAAATTTTAAAAATTAAATTATTTTATAATTAAAGTACCTACTAGTAGAATTTTAATAAAATCAGAAAATTATTAATCATTTATTGTCCATGGTTTCTATATGCAAGTTTCTACATCATTAACAATTGGTAGCTTATCTTCACAAGTCAGGCTTAAATTCGTTGATTCGGTTGGATTATTATCGTCAAAATAGTATTAATTTAAATTAAAAATATATTTTTGAAAACATTTTCATTCAAACTTGGGGTAGTCATGTGTGAGTTTATGGATTAAAGGTGGGAAAAAGAAAGAAAACAGGTCCTTTATATCTTACAAAGAAATTTGTATTTGAACTGTTACCGGTTTGGAAGTTTGTTCACTTCATCCTCAGGCACAACTAGTGGGTAAGAGAAGAGGGGGAATTGGTGAGTTTTAAGTTGTTAGCAAAAATTAAAAATGAGGGAATATTGATTTAATTTAAGTGAAATTAACAAAACTAATCTAATAATACCACTAATATTTATTTATTCACACTAACAAACATTTTCATTATTTGGTATTTTTTTATCTTACGTAAGTTTTATTATATCCCTCCGCTCCCTTTGTTATACAAATTAAGAAAAACTTGAACCCACTCGCCACCTAAGCATGCTTATATAAAATTTAAACGCCCCCTGTAGAAGATTAGCAAATATGTAAGTATTCTTATTATAGGTAGCCAGAAATCCACATCATTTTGTTTTAAATAAAACATATCCCGTTATTTTATGGTTCAGCTAGATAACAATGACATGCATATGACTCATGAATCTTCAGATAGTAGTGGAAATGTTGCACAATAATATTCCACAAACAAATTACTGAAATTGTAATTTTTTTCATTCAACTGACAATAATATAATCATCCTTATACATTTACAATCTAACCGCTAGAAATTTGGTTTGTTAACAAATTTAATTCTAATTATAACATAAAACTGAAAAATATATTCTACATTGGGGTCTATTCTGTAACAATTCCTTTATATTTAACGGCCTTTAAAAATATTGGCGGCCTTTAAAAATAGTTTCGTATTCGTTAATTTAAACAGATTTCTTTAAGATAGTCCTCTAATGTATTTTAAAGATCCGTTTAA